CCATCCATCCATCCATCCATCCATCCATCCATCCATCCATCCATCCATCCATCCATCCATCCATCCATCCATCCATCCATCCATCTTCTTCCGCTTATTGGGGTCGGGTAGCAGCTTCAGTAGGGAGGCCCAGACGTCCCTCTCCCTGTATATTATTATATAAACAAAATATGAAATATGAAATAAGTAAAGTTTTAGTACAACATTTTTGTACTATCTATATTTGCCTGTTTATTTATTTAGAGTGGTCTATGTGTGATAAAGCTTTTCAAATATACATGACTTCTCTGACTTCGTCTGGTATGTGCTTGTCAAATAAATAACTATTACACCCTGAGTTGAAGAGGGTTAAATGATCATTAAAAAATCCTGCTGATGCCTGTCCTCTTTCATTCCACTGTCCCTACAGTTTGCTCCCAGTTCTCCCGCGGGGTGTACGCCATCTTCGGATTCTACGACAAGAAGTCCATGAACACCTTGACCTCGTTCTGCGGTGCTCTGCACACCTCCTTCGTCACGCCCAGTTACCCCACCGATAACGAGGTGCAGTTTGTCATCCAGATGCGACCGGCCCTCAGGGGTGCGGTGCTCAGCTTGCTCTCCCACTACAAGTGGCAGAAGTTTGTTTACCTCTATGACACCGATCGAGGTAAGTTGAACGGTGTTGAGCTGGGGTCTAAGTAGATTGAATTAAAGCAGAAAACCATGTTACAGTACAGAGAGTCGGTAAAGTTAATGCACAGCAGAATAATAGAAGTATAAAATCTGCTGTGTAATACCTCATGACAGCCTTGTAAAGAGTTGAGCTGATATAACTCAGTAATAGAATATTTTGCTTTTATGAAAATATAAAATACATTCACTTGCAGTGCATTGCACTTTCAATACTCTACCCCTCTGAAAGCAAAAGCACTTTTATGAGCAATAATCTGTGAATCCATCCAACAGTTGACTGGTTGATGCCAGTTAATCTCCTGTTTAATCGTGTTGTTGATATTGGCTCGTCTTTTCTCTGAAATGAGGTATGTCACAGCTGCTACTAAAGTGTTTCCAACCAAAATCAGACTCTCTGGTGGCCCGTGGGAGCTGCTCATTGTGTTGCTTCAGTAAGGGTTATGTGTAGTCCTCAGATGGCCTCAAATTGTGGATACCGTGTACATGACAACCTGTCAACAAAACAAAGTGTTAATTTCTTGGATTTATAATGTCATATGGGAAAATTAGGTCATTATCTCTCACTAGAAAAACAATCCTCCCTTCCTACACTAACTGCAATTTGTACAAACATCACCTTGGCAGGGGGAGAGGGAGATTTTCAGGAGTTGACAGAGTCACAATATCTGTTCATAGGAATGTCAGAAACTGCCTTTCCCTCATGGAGATTTGATTTGCGGTTACTTTGTTTAACTATTACAAAGAAGCCCTTACCTGTTCACTTAGAGCTGTGCAAAAGTATTATTTCCCTACTGCTTTCTTCTCTATAAGCTTTTATTGTCAAATGTTTCACATGCAAAACACCCCAAGACAACCAAAATATTCCACATTATTTAACTAGTATTGGTATTTTTAGGGAGTGGAGGAAGCTTAATAGTGCCAAGGGGCCTAAATGCTGCAATTAACCTCTTGTATATGAAAATAAATAAAAATAATGGCTGGAGGAACTGGCTGCCCCACTGGGCATTCAGACCAGGCGAGAGTCATTTTTATATGTATATAAAAAAGGAGGTTTAATTTAGGAAAAACTTTTTGTTTGACTATTAGTGGTTCCAAAATGAGGGAATTCTCTTCATGATCTTATCATTTGTAATGACAGAGAGAGGTAAAAACCTGTGGCGTGCACCTTTACCTCAAAGTCCATTTAGCTCTGCAGTTCACTTGAACACAAGTAAGAGAAAAACAACATTGCACATTGTTCCTGAGCAAATAATAGTTTAAAATATCAAGGATTTTTCTCATTACCTTAAAGGGTATTAAATTAAGAGGTGGACGCAAAGTCCTGTATCATGAGAAAGTCTTGCATCAAGAGAAAACTTGAATTATTTACAATATCCTGAATTAACATTCAGTTATTTGTGCAAAAATATTAAAACAATTTATTGTGCCAGCACTGTTACAAACTGACTGAATAAATAAAAAAATATTTATCTTAATCTGGTGGGAGAAACTTAGTGCTGTTATTAGCGCTTTTGAACAGGTTATTGTGGTTGCTCTCAAAAAATGTTAAAACTCGATTTCATGACGTGCACTAAATCACAAAAGTAATATTCCCAGATTGGACTCACCAATGTTTCATGTTTCTGCTTTAGTATGCCTTTTTTTTTTTTACACAATGGGATTACTTATCTTGCAAAAAGCAGTGAGGCTTTAATTGTGAATGAACAGCTGCACCCTCTATTGGATACCCTTTTCAGCTGGTTTATCAGTTAATCAGATGGAGAAAATGTTTGTCATATAAACCGTTTATTGAAAAGTTGCCTACTTGTTTACATCTCAAACAGGCATACTTTAGATGTGGTTCTGGGTTGCTCTTTGACATTGTGCATAAGTCATCAATACACTGCTGGAGTACCTGGGATATGTCTTCATATTCTACACTGCTGTACCATGGTTTCTCTATTTGTAAATAATAACCTTCATTTTTTTAATCATTTCATTTTTGCTCGAGTTAAAGGTTTTTTACCCTTTCCAAACAAATAAATATAATAATTTTTATATGTAATTGATATCTTGATTCTACTGAACAGGCAATAATCAACAGAATGTGAACTATATAACACTGAAGTGATTACTTTTTAACAAATCATTGTGTTGGTTTGTTATTGCTTTTTATACCCTTAGAGCAGGGGTCTTCAACGTTTTCCAGGCCAAGGACCCCCAAACTGATGGCGAAATGGAGCGGGGACCCCCTAATTATATATATTGTATGAAATTCTGTTATACTGTATTAAACTGGTCCTATAGTCACTCTATTACATATGGGGATTATTAAAGTATTTCTGATTCTAATTCCTGGTTGATGGGACAGGTGTTGTGAATGAAACGGTGCCCAGGTTGAAAGAGCTCCTGAGTGTCGCTGAATCTGTGCATTGATGACTGAAAGACATCTTCTGCCTCCATTTATCTGTTTACTACAGTGTGACATTTCAATTAGTGGAAAAAAATTGCAGTGGGGAATATAAAAAAAAGTCTAATCAACCAAAACTTTTGCTACCCCCATGCAGTACCTCCATGGCCCCCCTAGGGGTCACGGACCCCCTGTTGAAGACCTACGCCTTAGAGGTTAAACTATAATTTGGCTTTTCATATTTCCTTGGCTTATCTTCTCTTGATATTAAAAGTGTGTAATGAATTAAAAAAAATAAGGTGTGACAAAGCTTAAAAACATGTAACACAGATACAAGAACTTTTTACACTAAAATTCTAGTCATCTTCCTCTTCTGCATTTTGTGTTCTTACTTGGATCTTTTAAGGTCAAGTTTCACCTTCTCACCTCTATTTAAAATCAGGTTTGAGGCAGAATGTGAAGTGGGTTTTCATGCAGAGTCCTCTTTCTCTGGGTCTCCAGGCCTGTATGGTCTGCAGCCGAGGGCCCTAATCCTCCCACAGTCTGCAGATAATACGTGGTTAATTAGGGTCACTCTGACTAGGACACTCATTGGAGCTCCCCTGCGGATGCTAGCAACCTACATGTCCTTCAGAACAACCAATACTGCTCAGCCCATGGGCTTTTTTTTTTTTTTTAATTCTTAACTTTATTTTGTTTAGCAACTGAAACTGTCTGAGGCGCAGCCTGTGTCATATCAGTGGGAAATGGCCTGAAATTCAAAATAAATTTGAGGTAGCTAATTCATCCTGAGGAAGCAAAGATTGAAGGCTAGTGATGACAAATAGACACAGTCTTTTAAAAAATAAAAGGCCAAAACAGGATAACAGAGAGAGGTAAAACAAGGAAACAAACAGCAATTCGGTCTGGCAATTAAGGAAACAGCAGGCGCCTGTGATTTACAGCCTGTTACCTGTGTATAGACAATTCCCAGCGTAGAGCACATCCGCGTGTTGAGGCGCATGCCAAACCACTTTTACCTCTCTGCTTACAGCCAGTGGTGTAAAACGATCCCTTATTAGTGGGAGGACATTGGCCCCGGGAGGGGATTAAAGTCGTTTATTGATGCACTTCATCCAGCACTTTGGGGGGCTTTGACACTTGGCTCATCAAGCAGACAGATATGTCAGAGAGCCTCTACCTCCACTTATCAGGTAGTGCAGCTCCCCTGGCATCGTGGACACTGAATGCTGGCCAAAATGAGAGGAGTGACAGGAGGAAATCTGCTTTCAAGGGTTCATGTTTTCCTTTTAGGCCCAGATCTGAAGGAAGTGGAAAACTGGCAGACCCTTCAATAGATTGTGTTAAACTCTTTCAAATGATTTTCAACTGTTTCTTTTCCATCTATTTTTTTATTCTGACAGTATTTACACACCCAATGTGATTAAGCAGCAGTTTGATCTACTACCCCTCTATTACCCCCTCCAGCAAAAAAAAAAGAAAAATAATAAAAACAATAACAATAATGCAGAGAAACAACAAGTTTAAATATTGAAATCTTAAGTTCAGCGATAAATCTTTTTTAATTTAAAAATTAACCCTATTTTCCTATTCCCTGAACACTTTTCTTCTTCTTAACATGTTCTTATTCTGTTATATATTATTATAGTTTCAGTGTACTTTAGACTTCATGTAATAAGAATTGACACATTTAAGTTACGCAGTAAATTTTGCATTGTTAAAGTAATACTTTAAGAGTGCATTTGGTGCCATTTGGCAATTAGTGTTAAATTAGAACTCTACTTAGTGTATATTTTACTCCAGTAAAGAGTCAAATGGATTCACAATAGGTACACAGTAAATTCCACAGTGTTAAATATGCAGTGTCAAAGTACATTAAGTGCTGGAACTTCAGGCAGTGCAGTACATAGCTCTATTTTTTTAAATATGAATTAATTTAAATATTTGTTCGGTCCAATAATGTCTTAGTTTCTTACATTTTTTTCCTTTAATTTAATCTCTTTCAATAAAAAAAAAACTATGGCAACATAAAGAAAGACCAAAGGACGTTTCTTACCCAGAAAAAAAGAAGAAAATGTGAAATGCTTTTAGCAAAGAGAGGCACAGATGTTCACTGCTTTATTATGAGAAATGCAGCAATGTTGCCTTGAAAAAAAATATCCATGATATTCTATATCCTTACATCCATAAAATTCACCATATTTCTTTCCACTTCAGGCAAACTACGAAAAGTTTATGATTTTCAAGTTTAGAAAATTATAATTATTGCAAAAATGTTTACTGATAAAAATATAAGGATGTATTATTCTGCACATTTAGTCTCTGCTGTGCAGAGCGAGGTAAAAGGTGTCCTAACATGGCCTTGTTTCTAAAGATGCTGGAGGCACATCTGGAAAGAAATGAATAGATGTGTTACTTTTAATAAGCCACATTAAGCCGCTCTGTGTCACTATAATAACAAGGAGCCGGAGTAGACTGAGGTAAATTATAGCAGCTCAATTTACATTTAAATATTACATTTCAAGTATTTTAATTCCTATACAAGCTGGGCTAAGCAATATTAGATTGCTATTGTTATTTAAAAC